GAGGTACACATTTTGGCATTACAGGAGTAAGACCTTGACTTGTTTCACTAGCATACAACATTGTTTGTCATAATTCGAACGACAGTTCGTAATAAATTTGGGAACTTCTATGTAATAAACCACTTATATATTGCCCAAGTGTGAATAAGTCGGAATGCCTTAATGCATTGTGCGTTTTACAGCTTTTTCGACAATCGAGGTTAGGTTACGGTAATGTGCAACTAAGCCTTCATATTTCAAATGAAACTGTCTTTGATACTAAAACTTTCCATTATTCGGTTTTACTGCTTAGTTGGGTTTTTTTTTGGTTTCAAGTAAACTATTGTCCTATTACACCTAAAATATGCCTTTTCGTTGAGTTTCAGGTATCCAAATTCGACCATTGGCGAACGCTTGAGGTTTGCGGGTGAAAAAAGCCATATGTGCTGACCTGATTTAGATTTGCTATTGGTGTTACATTCTCCAGATTTCGAAACCAATTTGCAATTTATCGTTTGTCAAAAGCCTATTTGGAAGTGTGCGTTCCACACCTCTTTTCCTCTATTTTTTGAGCTGAAGAGCTGGTCTTTCGTTCACGTCGATGTTATGCCAAAATTTTGATAATATTCATATCATGCCTATTCAGTAGCTTTTTTTAAAAGAGGGTTTATTTTCCTATTGATGAAATTACCCGCTTGTGAGTTAATAAAATCGGTTGGAAATTGCCTTGTAATACTCACCGAGGCCGCGCCTTCCGTAGTGTTATACGTTTTTCATTGGGGTAAAGGTCAGGTCACACTGTCTGTGTGTGGAATCAATCAACCGCATTTGAAAATTGGCTGTTTTGTCCAAGTTCCACCTCTCCCTAATGTTGAATGAACCTGTTTCCTACAATCTAGTTGCAAAACTTATTGACACTTAAACCTATTTGTTTGAAACATGAGTGATGAAAGTGTCCAGAGCTGATCATCAAGAAAGCTCTGGAATTTAAAAACCTGAGTGTGCGAATCGTTACGATACCAACACCATAGGATAAAATCAACCACCATAGTACAGTTGTTTTCCCTGCTGATGCCTGTTACTCATTTTGTTCTTCCCTTCTGACCAAATTCATTCTTTATTATAATGTCGCACATGTGTGACATGCGGGTGCAGGTAAGACCATCAGGACGTCAAATATATGTAGCACTTGTGGCGAACGTGTTAACAAAGAGGGCAACCGTGAACACCACACTTGACAGTGCTTGTTTCTCTTCCCCAGAATCTGAGGGCTACGAGTTTCAATTGATCTCCATGGATCGTCAATGGAACTTCGAGGCTCATAGCTCGGAGGACCGGGATGACTGGGTGTCGCACATCGATCAGGCCATAATCACCCGCCTCCAATTGCTCGAGTCGAGCAGCAAGCGTGAGGCTGTTCTCACGGGATCGACGTCGGGGGCCGCGGCATCAGGTCACACTGGTCTGGAGGTGCCCTCCAACAGTTGGGGAGGTGGCAGTCATTCCGTACCTGGCGTTGGCGGGGGTGGCGGTGTTGGGACCACCGGCTCAGATCCTGGTGGAGTGACCAAGGAGGGTGAGAAGTGTGAGAATATTCGAGTAGATGAAGCTATGGCTAAGTCACTACGTGCTGTGGCGGGGAATGACGTCTGTGCCGATTGTGGAGTACCTGGTGAGTTTTTTATCCCTGTAGCTGGAGGGTCATTTCCCTTGGCTTGTGTATGTGCATAAATTTACTTTGTCTATGGCTTGACGACCGTGAGAGCCGGGTCAGGAGATAGTTGTCACTTGTTTATGGTGGTTGCCTTCATTTTGTGCAACTTTTCACCACCTTTAAAATAATAAAAAAAAATTGAAAGCGTTAATTTAAATCATAAGCAGTCAATGTAATTTAGTAACTACTGTTTGAAGCGAATTGCCATGATAGTAGTATTTTAAAATTTGTTTTATTGTTCTGTATCACGATTTCAAACGCTACTGCAAAAAAATAAGGCTAGTTGCCCCATGTTCTGGTGGAGGGATGAGGGGCGAAAGCAGTAGCTCCGCAGGGAGGTGGGGTGATTTGTGCAGACCACAAGTCTTTGGTAAACGATAAAGGCGAGAACAATGCAGTGGGGGGTTGGAATTGGAATCATCCCTTTTTTCTGACGTAAAAGAGATGAATTCTTCTCTTTTGACGATGCCTTATAGATTGCGGTTGTTTATTATCTTGATCGTGGTAAAGATGTCATTTAATTACAATGATTCCGTCGCCTTGATAACTTTGAACAGTCCATTGTAATTTTAAGGAGAAATTCGTGTTGGCATAATTCTCAGTAATTTGGAAATTATCTACCCGTGTTCAATATTTCCTAATAGATCGCGCTTAGGCAAGCCTTGCTTACAATAACCTTTGCCGTTTTCACCTTCCTCGAAATCATAAGGAATAGAAGCAAGCAGGTGAATGTACTCATTACTTGTCAGACAGACTATGTCTGGTTTAGAATAGTAATGTTGCTATCAAGGTCATGCGAATTTCATGTCAACCGCTGACAACAGGTATAATATACTAGGACGCAATAATGATTTGGTGAAAAAAAAAACTCTCCAAGGTACTTGTGCCTGTATGATGATTTCGTTTTTCCAAATAAGAAGTGATTGAGCTACTTTAGGCCAATTAATGTCACATTGAAAAAGAGAAGGACCATGAATTAAGGATTCGAGCAATCAATGCCAGGAAGTCATACAACGTTCCAATCTCGAGTATCTGCACAGATAACGCTAGGATTAGTGTCCAACACTGCGTGCGTAGATCACTGCTATATCCTGGCCCAAAATGACGGTGTTGGTGAAGTGTATTGTTGAATATTGTAATTATTCGGACGTTTTAGGCATCTAATGTATGTACATGTATACCTATTCGCATTATCGAAATGTAGTAAATTTGGTGAATGTGTTATGCTTTGCATGGTTAAGGGCACAGGAGAGTGGATTTATTTTGGGATGTTCATGCATCCGGATGGGATTTGGATTAGCTTCAAATTCATGCACGTGTGTCAGTTTGCATGACGTAGTACTTGATTCCAAATACCTCTTTGGTATATCACACAGCCTTTTAATCGTAAAATCTAAGTTACAAGTACCATACTATATAGGAGTAAGTGACAGATGCACCAATTGCAAGAATTACGGTGATTGTAAAATGGGTTTATGTGTGGCTACGGACTACTACAAATAGTTTGAGTCAAGTCAAAAACGAGTAAGATGATGATGCACTGCTGTTACTGCCATTGCCATAGATCCGGATTGGGCAAGCCTGAATCTGGGTGAGATGGTGTGCATCGAGTGTAGCGGAGTGCATCGCAAGCTGGGCACGCACATCTCGAGAATCCGCTCCCTCATGCTCGATGACTGGACTCCCGAGGCCGCAGCCGTCATGCGCGCCATTGGGAACACTCTCGCCAACTCCGTCTGGGAGGCTGCAGTACCTGGTAACGCCGCCAGTCGAAGGTACTCACGCTCTTGCTCCTCTTTTCACTTCCCGTCTTTGAAGTGTTCCCTAGCTTCGTTTTGTGACCTCTGTTGAATCGAAAGTTAAAGAGCGAGTTTCGCCATATGTCAAGGTGGGGTGCCCTGTGGTGTTGAACCAAGTTAAAATGGGGAAGTTTTTGAAGCTATAATGCTGTTTGAAAATGCCATCGTTCTGAAGAGTGGAATGCAATCAGATATGTAGGTGAAAGATTGGTCTTCAATAATCTATGAATTCAATGACTTCTCTATTTAAAAACTCCTCTGCAACTAAACGAAGTCAAAAAAAGGATGCCTTAGATTATCAAATTCGGAAGTAACTTTAAGCTACCTTAATTCAACAACTTTGGGTATTACTAAATCCACTCCCTTTGTCTCTCTTGTTCTTCTACCATTTGTTGGCTGTAGTGCTGCACTTCACGGGTACAGGTGTTCAAAACCCGACGATCCTACTTTTTGAATGAATTAGATATTTTGTAAAGTCAGCCCATCTTAAATCGGGGATGTCTCACGATGCTGCGCTTGGGTATTAGTAACCGTTTCAAAAGAATCACATGACCAAGGGGATCGAGATGGACTCGCCTTAATTGCGTGCGTGGCGCTTTCTTCCACTATTTGAATCTGTAGTATTCTTTGCAATTCAGTTGGGCATAATGAAGCACTCATGCAAATAAATGAAGCCTGAATAATTTTGTGCAAAGGAAGTAGAATATTAGTAAACAGCTTTCTCAACATTTTTAGTTATTTTTTGGGCCTAAACTTTACTTTCCTCCATCTTTTAAGTACCTCCTGAGCATTATGGAAGAATCGCATTTTCCTTGCTATGTGAATCTTAATAATTCGCGATTGGAAGTCCTCATTCTCTGTGATTGTCTTTGTAGTTCGCCCAAACCTGTACCTATCTCTATGCCAGGTCTTAATCCATGATGTATTTCCCATCACCCCAATTACTAGGTTTGTTCTGGCGTGATTGACGCCGTAATTTACAACAGTTCGTTCTTACTGCAGCCGCTCATTGCCAGGCCAGGCAGAAGGTTGGGTTAGCTTAGTCGCCAAAATCAGTCGATAAAAAGATGTAAGGGGAAGAGGGAGGGGAAATGTGTGAGAAACCACTGCCTTAACGATGGTCGCTAGGCTTGTGGATGTCCCTTTTTATCTCACCGCGGTCACCTTAAGTCCAAAACGTGATGCGCCTGTGGCATGACATTCAAAGCCATCACCAGCCCCTTTCACATGTGTTTGAACGTAAATCCTCTTTAATCATTGGTAAGAGGGTACAAATAGCCCTCGTTTTCAAATTGTCAAAGTCGGTAAATTGCTTTCAACTCTTTACACTCCTAGTCGCCCATGTAAAATTAGTTGTTTACTGCTCTGTGTCAATTTACAAGGCTTAGTTTAGCATTTACTAGAAATAGGAGGAAAACCGGGCACAAGTTATTCTTCGAATGCTCACTTGATGTATCCCTTTGAAATCTTTGCTACCGACACGAGTGGAAAGCGTGCTGGTTAATGTGACAATTAATCAGGCCAATGTTTTTTGGAGGGAGAGGTATGCGTTGCACGCTTCGCTCTGGGAGCAGGAAGCAGCTGCACTCCACATCGGTGTCAACTCGTTTGCACCAGTTTCTTGCATTATTACTTACCTTCTCTCTCCTCTCTTAACCTTTCACATAAATAAAGTGAAGCAGCTGTTTCCTTTTTGCCTAGTTTTTTTGGGTCTGCCTGGTGTTACTATGCCCCAGGAGGCCGTTTGTGGATGGGGGATCCGCTTTTATTCCATTTTCCGCCGATCGCATTGTTATTGATTGGAAATCCGACGGTAGCAGGACTCTTGTTATTCCCTAGGCAGTCTCAATGTGTAGCGGGGACGTATGGAGTTACTACCTAGCCATCATTCCTCCCTCTTTTAAGGTTGTACGCGTGGGAAGGCAACGCTGCTCTTGCTACGAATGCGAAAGGCTCTCGTTGCTTGTCTGACTGCGCACGCAAGACCAATGATTCACTCGTCTTCCCACTCTACCCATACATACACATCCACACACACCTGCCACGATCTGTTGTTTCAGGCGCAGATTATTAGCTAGTGAACTTCGTGTGCCTCTTTGGAAGCCTCTTTGTACTCGGTTGTGGGTCTTTTTTGCTAACAAAATAGACAAATTTATGCAATTCGATCCGCTAGTAAGAAGTTCAAACACCTAATTAGCGGCTCTGCGACACTAAGAGTGCGACCGAGATTGAACTGACCGGCCAAATAATTAAACGATCCCATCTTTTATGTGATCCTACATATAATTGAGTGTTTGTAATCATGAAGTTTAAACGCATTACTTGATGTTGTCTTCATTTTAGCAAAACTGGTTATGGGGCTATAGTTGTCATCTCATTTAATGCTGAAGCAAATTGTACAATCCTCATTCATTTATTCTGTCAACTTTTTTGGGTTCTCACTGTTAGAAAGGTCATATTAATTTCTATTCTCATTCTTTGGTCGCTTAATTTAAGGACCCATGAGTACAAATGCCACATTTTCAATACATATTCTCTAAATCATGGATAGATAATCTAAAAATCAACTATACTAGCTTTTGCATATGTATGGTTTATAGATAAGATGGATATGTTTATTTGTTTAGTCTCCCGAAATTGCTTCTCAAAAATTCTTAAAACAGCAAGGTTTCCCTAGAATTTTTAAAGATGGGGAGGTGTGATAGTTATTTACAAAAAACAGGTTCACCCCAGTCAAGTTGAGACTTCAAAGCATAGAAAAAAGACCAGTTTTATTCTAATACTTAGAAGCAGGGGAATATTTTACGAAGTGGGGACTTCATTTTATCGTTGTATTTTAAATCCTTTGAGTCTCAGGAGCGTAGTGGTGCTTCGTGTGTCTTTTTGTTCTTGAGATTAGCGGTGGATTGAGTTCCTTTGGTAGTTAGTCATTGGAAAACCCCATTCAATGGATTAACTGATTTATTCGCCAAGGGACCTTTTTGCTAGTCTCTTTCATTGAAATAGTTTGGCTAAATATCTATGCAGGGCTCCATCAGTAGTAGTAAGAAGGGAAGAAGCACTAGGGAGCTGTTTCACTTGTGAATAACATGATCCGCCCTCGACTGGTCCTCCAGGAAGCCGGATTCGCGTAGTTCCAAGGAGGAGATGGAGGCATGGATTCGAGCGAAGTACGAGCATCGTGAGTTCCTACCGCCGCTGCCATACCCCGAAGCGCCACTGCAGCAGCAGTTGATCGACGCGATCGCGCGTCAGGACACACGTCAGGTCATCCTCTGTCTCGCCCGCGCTACGCCCGACACCGTCAACGCCCCGTACTCGCGACAAGATCCTCGTGCTGCCATTCACATCGCTGCTACCCTCGGCAATATTGTCTACCTGCAGCTCCTTCTCTGGGTAAGCTACCCTTACCTTTTACTGGAATCAGTGGGTACTTCTAGAGGTAACATTTTTGGTAGTCGACAGCTCCCTGAACTTATCTGCTAGAAATTGGGGTTAGTAGCCTCAATAGGAGATCATTCGTTTTGGCCAAACTTATTTGCTTAAATGGCAAAGGCTTCAAAAATGTTTGGACATCAGTAAAAAGGTTTCCAGTATTTCATAGATGATACGGATTCTATTTTGAATTATGGGTTTCTCAGACTTTATTTAGCGTCATAAAATCATCACCTAGACTACCAGCTTATTCCGATAGTATGACCTATTGCCGCATTTGTAGCATATACCATCTAGACTCGGTGAGAAAGCATTCAAACAGTTTATTACTCTTACGGACGGCTACAGTATGCCCTTGAAAAATTGTTCACCTTAAAGCTGTGAAATACCTGTCAGCACGTGCTTTATTGTCATCGGTATGTGCCCGTAAACGAAGGCTATCTTCATTTGCGTTAGGCAGAGACAACACGTTTTGGGATTTCGGGGTGTTTGTAAGCGAGTCCAATATATTTTTCTTAAGGACATCTTCGTATTTTCGAAAATCCTGCATCATTATTTTGTTATAAACTTGTTATCTTGATTTTCAATGCCATTTTCTCTAGATAATAGCATAGGTACTTTGTTTTTATTCAAGATGTCCAAAGTTTTTTAAATGTGGTACGATTAGACTTTTCTGGTATTTTTTAGATCTGGATGTATATCGTAACTGATCTTCTGCCTTGGTTTTTAGTGCTTATTACTTGTTTTTATAAAATGGTGTTTACTTCCACTTGATATTAGTATGTGGTTTTTTTGTTCACTTTTTGTCTTTTTTCTGACGTCGAAGACAGTACAAAACAAGCCGGTGAATTGGTATGCTCGTTACGCAAGCGTGTTGGGGTGGAGGGGGTTTTAAAATTATCTCCATATTGTTGACATTAATATCCGATTGCAGGAAAGTTAGTAGGCGTCCCTAAAAGTGTATGTCCCGTTGATATGTTGCTTTTTTGATAATCATTCAAATAGTAAAATGTTATCCCGTGTTCGGGAAATACCTTTCCATTTGATAATGGACTAACAGTATTTTTCTTTATCAGTTGGAATATTTTATGTTCTCACTTGAATGTAATCTCGGGACATCGTCTCTTTAAATTCATAGTATCTTTTATTCTTTCATTGCCGTTAATGCACTAATGGGTTCGGGGCTTGTTTAGCAACTGTGGTCCATGCTGTTCTGCTAAATCGGTACCGTTCGAGTGAGACTTTGAGGCGAAGCTGCATACACGGTTTTTTAAAAGCAATCGTTAAGGTATTTGAATCAGTAACGTAATTTTTCATAGGCAAGGCGTTTCAGCGTTACAACCTGTGGATGCCAAATTTCTACAAGCACGCATTGTCATTAATTTAGTTCCATATTCTGGTATTTACTATCCTTCAAAGCTATCCTGGCATCTGGAAATACATTTTCATTCGTTTGCAGGCTAACCCTACCTCAAACGCTTACGATCATCTCTTTTTTCAGAAATTTAGTTTCCTCATAAAGTTTATGGCAATTATCTCACTTTTTACTCGCCTGTTATCTTGTATGCGATACTAAGGCAGATATATAATAGGCATTCTGATGTTTTTTACAATGGATTATAAATGAACTCCGGATACTGACTTGGGTTGTTCCTCAGTAGTAGGATTTGGTCATCAGTAAACCGTTCCTATCCATTTCCGTCGGTGCCATATAGTACAACGGAGATCCGGGAGTGATGGACTCGGAAGGTCGGAACGCCTTTTATTACGCGCATTGTTCGTACCACTTCGACTGTGCCAACTTCCTCGCTCGCAACGGCTGTCCGCGTCAGGTCGTGCCCTCACCCGCCCTTGCCCACTTCGCCACCGTTCAGCAGCCGCAACAACCACAACAGCAGCATCACCATCAACAGCAACAGCAGCAAGTCAAGTCCCCACTACCACCGTCCCAGTCCCAGACGGTAAATTCTATTACACCCAAGCATCATCTACAGCAGCATCCTGCTTACCAGCAGCAGCAAGCAATGAGCTATCGGACCTCGGGAGTCGCTGTAAGCCCCGGAATACCGCCTCCCACTCCACAGGGTGTTATGGCAAGTGGGTTCGCCCCTGGTAAGTATCATCGGCGTTCCTCCTTAACTGAGCAAAAAATGGCAGCCCTAGTCAGATGGTGTTACAGTACTGAATTGATGGTAGCAGGCGCCTTGACTAAGCTTGTTATGTAAGTGATTCGGCCTCTTGGTTTAAGAAGAATTTTCCTCTCAGCTCTCTCCTGCATTTTTAGACTGGTACTCGGCGAATTTGCCCGCTCGTCAATTGAAAATCTGTTGTACTCTTGTCCTGTCGTATTGACCACCTTTAGTCAACGTGAAACTATCGGTTGGTCTCTAGCTCTAAATTTATTTCTCGTATTTGACTTGTATCGTCGGCAATGAAACGATTCTCATCTTGTATGAAGGTTAATTATTGTGGCCTGGTTATTTCTCGCAGCCTTGGATGCTTTTTGCAAATCCCCTAATTTATTGGTCACTAATATTTATTAATACAGTATCTGTCACGAGGGCAAACTTCAGTCTCCGTTGAAGCTCGAGGAATTATATAACAACGAATCCCCATTTTTATACAATAAAAGGCTTCTCATTTTTCTCCTCTTCGCATCACGAAATTAGTGTTCTGCTGTGCTGTAAGCGCTTCGACACTTGCTACAGTTTTAGTGTTGATTTAAGCATGGTTTAAATCGGGTCCCTTTTCCATATCATCCATCTACAAAAGTGCCATATGAAAACGCTTTACCCCCTTTCTGTTTGTCAAACTATCATTCAAAGCTAGGCTAGATTGTTTCACCTTCTACCGCATGTGCAATTCTGCACCTCCTACATGGAGTTAATTTATGGCCTTAAGAAATGGGGTGTTTTTATGTACCACCAGATGGAGATAATGCGATTTCCTTGGAAATGTTAGTACAGTGTAGCCCTTACGATTGCGCGTCTTCCTTTAGCCGGGAAAAGTATCGATGTTACCTTGCTTCGGAATAGCATTAAACCTGCATACCATAATGAATTCTAGTTTTTCCCTCAAAGTAATGGGCATGATGTTGACGTAGAATTCATTATCTCCATTACACCTGCAGATCTTTAGTTTTGTAATAAAATTGAAGCCTTTTCATATTACAGGTAACGGAATGATTGAATCGTCTCACTAGCGATCACCTATGCAACCTCTTCATTTATCATTAAGCTATCTTACTAAGGTTCTTGTTTATTCATTTGGCTAACTGTGAGCAAAGTCCTTTTTTTCGGAAGGCCGAATTGGTCTCAGTTGCCTCAGACTCTGTTAAGCCTCACTTTTGGGTCATTCGTGTGCTTCCCAGCAAGGCAGGGCAATGGCTATACATATCCCATTCAGATGCATTCACGTCAATGTTCAAGTGACAAACACTATGCTTAAGTTGCAATATTTAAAATGATGATAGTCGTTTTGTGTGGGCCTCTGTTTTACAAGTATGGATAACAACTGTACTTCCATTTTATGTAGTTTTAGTGCCGAGAGCACCGTTCGTGCCGACGGTCGATATTGCCATATTTTAATTTCAATGACCAGTTTTCCTGATTCTTTAGGATAATCTTAAAAGAAGGTATAAATAAAGGATGCAGGATTGGGTGTCTTTTTTTTCTAGAACATACTTGCGTGTTATGGCTTATGGGTAAATTTACTACGGGAAATTGTAGTTATTCCTCTCATCCCCTATTCACCCTTCCTCTCAGTGTTCATGCACAACATAATGCCGGTGTCGTCAGCCAATGCGTTGCATGGGACAATGGGTGGTAGCAGTAGCGGACTGAGTCCAGCTACAGTGGTAGCGGGTGCGACCCTACCGCGTCGCAGGGGTCCCTTCGGTCCGGCCCAAGGCTGCTACCTGCCATCCCAGCCACCACCCGCGACGGTGGCCAACAGCATGGCCAACCGACCGCTTCCCGTTGCAGCAGCCTTTGACCCTAACACTGGACGCCCCCTCGTTCCCTCCTCTTCGCTGTCCCTGTCTGCGCCTCCCAAACCTGGCGATAGCGGCAGTCAGGAGATTGGCATCTAGTCGCTTTCTTGCTCTTCACTCCCTTCGCCCGCCTCATTTTTTGTTCGCTTTCCAACTGACTGCTTGTTGGCGCATTTGACAACTTAACCGGCTACCAACACGCGCTATATATATATGCGAAGGTATTTAAAAAAACATGTACAGTTTTTCGAGGTCCCCATCGTGTGTGGATCTTCATTGCATTGCTTCACATTATCTCTTTAATCCCTTCTTCGCCCTTCGTTTCGAACGGCTCCGTATAACCGTCGACGGCGACAAATTGGATGTGCGTCTCTCTATTGAAAACAACTTCCATTTCTGTGTGTGTGCTTGTGTGATCATGAATATATGCACAGCAGATTCTCCGACTCCTCTAAGTGCGGGAGACGTTTTTGTTTGGGATGCTTAATAACCGCACTCTTGGGTGGTGACCTTCGGAGCTTCTTTGCAACGTTCAGGTGGTCTGAAGACGTTTTGAAAAATACAGATCTAGGGGTAGCTGCATAGCTACTGAAATTGGTGTGGAGGGGCAAAATGTGAATTTCTCTTGAGACGGATTGTGATGCTTTTAATGTATGCGCAGATGACTTTATGCGCTTGCCGTGACTCAGAGTTAGCATCAGCTACTTGTCTTGCAATGCATGTGGAACTGGATGCGTGACCGAATTGTCCCAATGGAATGGGGAGGTGTTCATGTGTACGGACGGCCTATATTTTGAACGAATCACAGGTGTATGTGGGCCTCGTTCCATGATTGTCTCATCCGTCACTGCAAAAATATCGAGAAACTGTCACAAGCAATTCTACGCAAAAATATCGCTCCAAAAATAGGAAGTGTCGCAAGAAATATTGTGAAAATTTGGACTTATTTACGCCTACTGAGGTTGTCCAGCAGGCAGAGGAGTGCGACTCAAGGTGTGAACCGTCACATTAAATGGTCTTACCCGACTGCTATTTGGTCTAAAATAGTTAGCCATGAGCAAGGCTGGGGTATAGGGTATACAGCTATGTTGGGGGATTCCGCATAACGTATTAGTCTATGAAATGCATGTACCAAAATGGCAGCTTCCAGTCCATGGCATTTACAAACATAATTATTGGTATTCCGAGAATTGTAAGATGCTAAATATGCCAGCATACTGCCTTAAAAATGTACTAAATCCGATTGCCGTAACTCCAGATAATAGAACTGCATTTTGCCGTTTTACCGTTTTAAGATATTAACTTCAGTATAGCAATTTTAGACATTTGGGTCACTAAGCGCCAATCAAACAGGAAAGACCATTAGCCTACATAGGATCTATACATTTCAAGTGCAATCTTTTGCTCCTTATAAGACATTGGTATTATAAATTTGGGGCGAGGTAATGCTGATTTTAATGTACAACTAACTACACTGGTTCACCAGTCTCCGTGGTTCTCCCCGTTTGGCAGTGACTTTGAGCGGTTGGGATGTTGTGTTGAGCAAGAAACGTAGGGATTCCTACAGACCAAACTTTAACAATCTATGTTTTCCAAAATTAATGGAGACGAGTGCTTGTACTGCTGGGTGTAGTGCGACGCAATGCAGAGTCGGTTGGGAAGGTTGTCTACAAAGGAGACATGTGATTATTTAAAATGGACTTACTAATTATGAGAAGAGGTTGCATATGCAACATGTCATACGTTTCAGCTTATTCATATTCGATGATTCTGGATTGTAATAAAGGTATCGGTCACCTGAATATATAAACAAACTCAACGTTCGAGCGATTGGTTATCTTGGCTTTGCACACTTTCAAGCTGTCGTTTTAGAAGTGGCTCAACTGTTAATCGTACTTTTATCTTCACGTATATTATGCCAAGTTTAAATATCCCTTTAAAATGGAAACAATTGAATTTAGCATTAAGATGAGAGCAGTTTTATGGCAATGGCCATCTTTTTATATGATGCTGCCTAGGTAAACCTTTGTTAATTCCAATACCTGGTTCTTCGGTTGTTAAGAGTTATTCTATCTTGCTTGCATTGAATTTTAACTGGTGCACTTTTCTACAGCAATATTGAATTTGGTTATTCAGAGCGAGTAGATTATTTTTTTCTGTAGCGTTTACCTGGTAGTAATAACTTATCCAGTCGAAAACACAAATCAGGAGCTTTTATCATCAAATTTTGTGTTTTTGCGTAAATGTATGTGCTATTAATTCATCTGTTGCAGATTCAACAGGTGGAACATGGCCTTTCGTGCCCTACATTACGTTTTTAAAATTCCGAACCGAGGTGAAGCAGTCAAATTCTACAAGAATGTTCTTGGAATGGAAGTCCTTCGTCATGAAGAATTTGTCGAGGGCTGTAAAGCTGCGTGTAATGGGTACGTTGAGATCACTCCTTCAGTCTCTCCCTCCCGTTCAGCCCCTACGACGGCAGGTGGAGCAAAACGATGATTGGTTACGGACCTGAGGATAATCATTTTGTTCTTGAACTAACCTATAATTATGGAATTGGCAGTTATCGGCATGGCAACGATTTTGTGGGTATCCACATTTACTGCCCTAAGGTCTACAGACGCATTATATCTGAATCTACTTTGCCCAAAGTAAAACATGAGGGCTTCCTTGAAGTTAATGATCCAGCTGGTTATCGCTTCTTCATTCATGATAAACAGTCTAGTTCGCATGATCCCGTGAGGAAGCTCGAGCTTGCCTCCACTAATATTCACCGGTCGATTGGTAAATTACTTGCTCTGCCCTTATCTTAATACCGGCTTTAGATTACTGGTCGAAAAAGTGTGGCATGAAGTTACTGGAATCGTCGGACAAACATGCGCTTCTCAGTTTTGGTGATGGTCAGTGCCAACTGCAGCTGACGCTCGGTGAACAGCCGATCGATCGTGGTCAAGCCTATGGCAGAGTTGCTTTTTCTTGTCCTAGAGATAGAGTGAGCTTGTTTTCCACAGATATCATAGTATTTTAATGGAATTGCCTTTAACATGGATCATTTTGGGTCCTGGTTTACTATCTTGACGGCAACTCTTTGACATCTCTTTTTTGGAATCCTGATTTTAGCTCGCACCCCTACAGGACAAGATGGACAAAGGGGGCGAAACAGTTGTCACGAGACTAGTCAGCTTAGATACCCCTGGGAAGGCCACTGTTGAGGTTATAATCCTCGCTGATCCTGTGAGTTATTGATTCAGATAAACGTGTATTCCATTAAAATTAAAACTACCAACCAGTTGTGTTCGCACTAACTTGGTAGGTTTTTTGCTGTGCATGTATGTGCAACTGACTTTGAATACTCAAATTAAATAGGGTAAAATGTGGAAGCAGTGTTTTTGACTGTTTTTTAGACAGAAATAAACGTATTGTTTGCATCATCTCGAAACCGCAGTGCTACACTGTGCTTGACTTGAAGGCTGATTTTTACTAAAGCGGTTATATTTCTTAATTTCCATGTTATTGAGTAAATGCACCCACTTAAGTGAAACAGTGCGCCTAATTCACTATGCAACGCTTAAAATAAGTCCCCTTATCGTCTCAAATGCGTCAACCTTGTCGGTTTTTGTCTTGTGCTTGGTTGACTTGCTCATGTCTAATTTACCTTTGCACAAAGCACATGAGGATTTACTACTCATTGCGCAATCAAAACGAGTGCAATCTCTAAGTGAAGGGTTTCCTTACCACAGTCTACTCTCACTTTGTACTTTTTCAATTATTAAGCATGCATAACTCAGGCACATGGAGCGCGCGTGTCCTACATCATGTTTATTGTTTTTTTTTTCGTTTGGAACAAAACTAGTAGCGACTGCTGAAGCGGACCGATGGAGTCAATTTCCTAAAGCTCCCAATGTTTGGGACCACCGCTTCAAGTCAGCACATTTTGTGGGATATTTCTGACAGAAAGAGCGAGGACACAGCCGTCATACTGCTCACGGATTTTTTTGATGACTAAAGAACCGTTACAATTTGTCAGTGCAGCGTATTTGGGGTCTGATTATGCACTTGCGTGTTAACTTTTCAGGATGGCCACGAGATCTGCTTCGTGGGTGATGAGGCATTTTGTAGTCTCTCGCAGGTTGACCCGAAGGCCGATGAACTGTTAGCAGTAGCAATGTCCGAGGACTACAGCGATGCCTGGTTCCAAAAACGTGGTGGCAAAAAAACGCATTGACCTTCTCTCCTTCCCCGCTTCATATGGCTTATCTATTACAACTGAGAAAAACTTTAAAAATTGATTTTACAATCTTGCATTCGACTTGCCTTATAATATCGCATCGGTTTGTGAAGGATAATAAAACAGGTTTTTAGAACTGTGCCGATGCTGACAAAGTGAGTGACAAAAAACCGATGGCCACGAAAAAGGTAGGATTGCTAATTGTACAGATTGCACCTCAAAAAATTCGTGGTAATCCTCATCAGAGGGGAGTTGATGTGGAATGTACATAAATGCAAAAAATAAGTTGATTATCTGTTCCAGTCCAGAATGCAGAAATCAAGTTGCTAAGTAATGGGTCTTCTAATGGTATTCGGGATCAAATAAAGGGCTCAAAGTAGTAAAAACGAGTGGGTTTTCAGAGGTAAGACGACAATGAAGTCTGTAAGGGGCTTCAACTCCTTACATAGCATAGGTATTTTGAGTACTGAAACCATTTACACTGGACAATAAACAGCCAGCTTAGTAGTTATACGGAATGACGATATCTACGAGAAAAAAAAGGTTCAG